GCCAAGTGAAAAAGTGTCTACGTTAACCAAGGGCTGATCCCCTGACTCAGAGGGGAACTTAGCGGGGACTCAGGAATGCCACCAGACTGAAGAGAAATGCCAAACCAAGGCCATCTGGTACGTGGCATCAAATTGTTCGGCCTCCTTCCAAGCCGGACAGATTGAGTTACTGAAGGCACTGGGGCACCGGTTGAGGCTCTGCCAACCAGAGAAGCAGCTTTGGTTTCTTTAGGGTTAGGAATATTTGTTTAGGAGCCGCTTTATGCTGAGCTTTTGGAGGGTAATGGAGGAGTGACTGAAGTTGTCAAATTTGTTGACATCTGACCCATCAGGATTGGACTTTTCAGGGGCCTCTGAAACCTGCACCAGGGTTTACAGCTCAGAAAAATCCGAAGCAGTCTAGACAAATGAGGCCCTTATCTTCTTGCTGTCTACTGCAGTCCTTGCTTTAGCCAGATTTGAACTTGTTGAGCTAGATACCATTGGCTTTCGATCTTTGCATCTTCGTTTCAGATTTTTTGACTCTCTCTGCAGCCACTGATGCTGTTAACATTAACTCCTATGATTTGATTTTGTAATGCACGTGTCATCGTTTGTACTGTAAGAAACAGGTCATGGAATTTTTATTCCCTCTCTGAGAAGTTTCTTATCTGTGAAGTTCAACTTGACCTACATTTCATCTCTTTTACAACCTCAGAGTTGATATTTTCAGGTGGTTTATCTCTGAAATTTAATTTGAGGCTCTGTTTCTGTGCCCGTGTTACATCATCATGACGGCCTGATTGTGGAAGCCAAATTCCAGAAAGAAATGAAATTTTTGCTTTTTTTGCTTGTTTTTAAACAATCATGGATGATGAATGTTGGTGTGCCTTGGAGGAAGTATTTGGGGTTATAATTTGAGACTTCGTAATTAAAGTAAATGGTTCAACATTTTCTTAAAGGCTGGAAGATGTAGGTGAGTCTGTTTGCGGATGGTTGGGCTTTGCTCCTTTGTTGATAAGCTGGTAGGCACCTTGAAAGGGAGAAGGAGCCCTCTTTAAGAATTTACTGTTGGTATTTTTGGTGCGTTCTGCCTTTTGGTACCACATTTATCATCTCACATGTGCCCTTAATAAAAGTGAGAGAGAGATGGACATAGCTAAAACTTGTTCTCTGGAAGTCTGATGAAGAGTCTTCATCAGTGCCTCCCAGTCTTAGCAAGTGTTAGAGCAGTAATAACTGTGATGCACAGCTCCAAGGCAAGAACTCCTACATTTCTTTCAGGGTTCAATCAACTTCTTTTGGATTCTCATGAAGCTAACATAAAGTGAAGATTGGCATCGATTGTGTCATTAAAGACTAGAGTTCTGTTTCACATCTCATGGAAAATGAGAAGAAAATGAGTCTGTAGGAGGTGTGTACTGTGTGCCAATCACTATAAAGCTTGTATTATTTTTAGCCTTCAGTTTCCCAAGAAAGAAGTCAAAGCTATGAGGTGCCTGGTTATTGATGTGTTTCTAGCAAAGGGTTACTCAAGGGGGCACTGTTAGTATTTTCAACAGCAGCGTTCTTTGTTGTATAGGACTGTGCCCTGATTCACGAGAAATTTAGCACTCCTGGGCCCTCTGCTTTCAGTGCCGTAGTTCTTCCCCAGTCATCGTAACTGCCAAACATACCCACCGCCTTTAAAGGCTACCTGCCCTTGCTATTGGCAATAGGCTCTCAGTAAATACTGATGAATGCTTTTTATTTTTATTTGTTTGTTTGTTTATTTATTTATTTTGAGATGGGGTCTCACTCTGTTGCCCAGTCTGGAGTGTAGTGGTGTGGTCACAGCTCACTGCAGCTCCCAGCCCCTGGGCTCAAGGGATCCTCCCACATCAGCCTCCTGAGTAGCTAGGACTGACCACAGGTGCACCACCATGCCCGGCTAACTTTGTTTTTTGTTTGTTTGTTTGTTTTGGTAGGGATGTGGTTTCATTATGTTGGCCAGGCTGGTCTCCAACTCCTGGCCTCAAGTGATCTGCCCACCTTGGCCTCCCAAAGTGCTGGGATTACAGGCGTGAGCCACCACTCCTGGCTTGAATGCTTTTTTAAAGAGCTAGTGCGTGGATTCCGTCTCTGAGCATGTGCATCTGTTGTAATAGAGAAGAATATCCTCCAAGCTGGTTTCATGTTTTTATTACCTAAGATTTTCATAATATCTTATGTTTATGAAATAACAATATTTATCCTATACTATATAATTGGAATAGAGTTCTTTTTGTTGATTAAAAATGAGTATATACCATATAGTTTATGGCTTGATTTTATTCACCTTTTCTCTTAAGCATTATGGCACCATTCATAATAATAAAAACATAATGTATCATGTTTCATCATGATTTCTTCTTTCTTTTCAGTACATTTTTCTAAGACAGGATTTTATGGTAGGAATTTACAGAAATGCTGACTACAAATAGCTCGAAATCCATTTCTCCCTAACTGTTAGCATTTATACATATAAATGTCAGAGAATACATAGACATTTTATCTTGTTTGAAGTTAAATTTAACTAGTTGGCAGTATTTCTTGGCAAACTGATAATGGAGGTATTATCCGTTACTAAATCTTCAGCCATATTATGTTCATCAAGTATTCTGTAGACTATATGTCATAAACGGATTCTTTTGCACTTCAGTGAGAGGAGGGAAACTTGGATTCATTCATTCATTCAATAGGTGGGTACTTATAGTACTTGGGATATATCAGTGAACAACACAGATGATGATTCCTGCTTGCACACTAGCATAAATGAATATAATAAGGAAATTACAAGTTAGTTTGGAAGGAGGTAGATGCTGTGGATAATAAGGTTGGTAAGGAAGACAGGTGTGCCTGGGGTTGGGCTGGAGGTGCAATTTTTTTTTTTTTTTTTTTTTTTTTGAGACTGAGTCTTGCTCTGTTGCCCAGGCTGGAGTGCAGTGGCATGATTCCGGCTTAATGCAACTTTCGCCTCCTGGGTTAAAGCGATTCTCCTACCTCAGCCTCCCGAGTAGCTGGGATTACAAGTGCCCACCATGACACCTGGCTTATTTTTGTATTTTTTGGTAGAGACAGGGTTTCACCATGTTGGCTAGGCTGGTTTCAAACTCCTGACCTCAAATAATCCACCTGCCTTGGCCTCCCAAAGTGCTGGGATTATAGGCATGAGCCACCATGCCTGGCCTGGAGGTGCAATTTTAAATGAAGTGGTTTGGGAAGATTTCTCAAAAAGGTGACTTTTATTATTTTATTTTATTTGTTGATATATATATATATATATATTTTTTTTTTTTTTTTGAGATGGCATCTCACTCTGTCACCCAGGCTGGAGTATGGTGGCGCCAGTTCAGCTCACTGCAAACTCTACCTCCTGGATTCAAGCTATTCTCCTCCCTCAGCCTCCTGAGTAGTTGGGACTACAGGCACCTGCCACCACAGCCAGCTAAGTTTTTTATTTTTAGTAGAGATTGAGTTTCACCATGTTGGCCAGGCTGGTCTCAAACTCCTGACCTCAGGTGTTCCACCCACCTCCCAAAGTGCTGGGATTACAGGCGTGAGCCACTGCACCCACCTAAAAAGATGACTTTTAAACAAAGACCTGAAGAAGAAATGAGTACTTACTGAGCTTTCCTTATTTAGAGGCACTGTTTTAGGAGCCAGAATGGCTAGGTAGATCTTCTGTAATCTACAAAAAAAACAATTTGCATTGCCAGAGTATGGATGTGTACACTAAGATGAGAACGCTCAAACCACATCTGTGGAACATGTCTCTTAAAATTAATCTTTTTTAAAAATATCATTTTGGAGTAATTACCAGTAGCAGGTATTTGTTTCAAAAGGAAAGAGAAAAAAGGCTAAGCAAAAAAGGAATGAGCTTTGTGTCCAAGTCCAGCAGTCCTTACAGAATTACTGCTTCTTCCCACTGGTGACATCATGGTGACAAGGATCCTCCAAGGGTGACAGTGACAAAGCAGGAGATGTTGCTTCAGATAAAAACAGCTTTTGTGGAGAAGCTTAAAACACAGTGGACCAGAGAACAGGAATTTACTGCTGCTTCTGATGTCAGTGGGCTTTGTGACCTTGGGCGGGTTGCTTGAGCTCCTCCACCTCTTAGACCCGCTAATTATTTGTTAGACATGATGTCTAAGCACTTTATATACATCATCCTGTTTAATGGGATAAGTTATAAAACATGAGGAGGATGAACTTCACAAGATAACCATTAAAGTCCTTTTCTAGCTCCTGTGTTCCTTTCTTTTTGACTTGTTAGTTCAAAGACATAATTAGACTACTGTTTGTCTTATGATAAGCTTATGAATTGAAGCCAGGCCACAAAATATGATTATTTGTCATAGCTTGAGCCATGGAGTAGGACTGGCTCTAGGATTCCTGGTTTTTCTCTTCCTGACATGTCTCGTGGTGTTAAGAAGGTCATGTCCTGCTTAGCATTTTTTATTTGCAAGTGAGTGAAGGGGGCTCAGCACTGGTTTCATTGTGATCTCCTTTGTACAAACACCAGCCCCAGATTTCCCTTTCGCTCCGTGAACTCTGAACAGGACTACCAAAGAGTTAAGGGTTGGAGCTGGAGGAAAAGCAAGGAGGAAGCCTTGCTGTGAGGGACAGCCACAGCGCGCCTGCTGTCTCAGATAACCTTCTGTAGAAAAAGAACTCTAAAGGTGGTTGCAAGGACGCTTGCAATGTATTTATTATTGACTTACCTCCAGAAGATCTGTAAAATGATATACCGAGATGGCCCTGATGGCCCCTTTTAGCTCTAAAGTTCAAAACTTCTCTTTTGATTAGAGTGCCTTTGGATAAATTTACCAAGACAGATTTCACCCAGGATTGAGTATTTATCAAAAGACAAACGTGCACCAAACACACAGAACTGACCCTCACCCAGTTTTACCCGCTTCTGTGGTTTAACTGCCGCCTCGCCAGCCTGTTGAAAGAAGAGCTTCTGCCCCTCACCTCCTTACTGTCGTCTTGTTTTGTAGATGATGAACCAGGTGGAAGGGCAGCAGAAGAACCTCGTGCACGCCATTGAGTCCCTGCCAGGGTCTGGCCCCCTCACTGCCTTGGACCAGGACCTGCTGCTCCTGAAAGCTACCTCTGCTGCCACCCTCAGCTGCCTTGGGGAGTGCCTCAACTTGTTACAGCAGAGCGTGCACCAGGCGGGCCAGCCCAGCCAGAAGCCAGGAGCCTCGGGTAAGACCGCCGGCAGCTTGTCTATGTTTAGGATGAGTACACACGCTATGTGTGTGTGTCCCATTGTCTTCCTCCTTTAAGTCCATCCATTTCTCTGTGATCCATCCGTCTATCCTTATATCCAAGTGTTTCTACTGCGCTTCCTCTCTACTGTTTGGGATGTATTTTTATGTTACAAGTTACAAATGTGACATTTTATGAAAAATGTAATTCTGCATTCATCTCTCCTGCCCTTCCTCTACTGTTTGGGATATATTTTTATTTATAAGTTACAAATGTAACATTTTATGAAAAATGTAACTAAAATATTTACATAAAGACTATGGAACACCTTTCAGACTTGCTGGCATCACATTATAAGTCTCATCCCATTCATAACATTTGCACTCAGCATTCTGTTGTTTTGTTTTGTTTTGAAATAGAGTTTTCACTCTTGTTGCCCAGGCTGGAGTGCAGTGGTGCAATCTCAGCTCACTGCATCCTCCACCTCTTGGGTTCAAGCGATTCTTCTGCCTCAGCCTCTTGAGTAGCTGGAATTACAGGCATGCGCCACCATGCCCAGCTAATTTTGTATTTTTAGTAGAGACGGGATTTCTCCATGTTGGTCAGGCTGGTCTTGAACTCCCAACCTCAGGTGATCCTCCTGCCTCAGCCTCCCAAAGTGCTGGGATTACAGGCCTCAGCATTCTGTTTTTAAGATCCACTGGCATGCAGCGTCTGGTCCATTATTTCTGTGGTGTTGGGTCCACCACATTATACCCAGCCACTCTCGGATGACAGATAATGCACATTGCCTCCAGCCTCTGCCCCACTCACCTCGCTGCAGTAAACATCCTCCTGCCTGTCCCCTCACGAGGAAACCTCTGGAATACACACCAGGAGTATTTCTAGCTCTTAATCAAGAGGCTGGAGATAATAATGCACGTCCTTGAGATGCCTCAGTCCTTTTGGAGGAAGGTTTAATCAGTGAGCAGATATAAAGATATTTGTGAAGATTAAGATAAAGGTAAAAATAGCTTGAGATTGGTTATGTCACATACAATTATAAAATACTATAATTAACAGAATAACAGCAGCCTTATTGTGCTTTGTTGCTCAGGGGTCACTTAATTAATGAAGGAATGAGGCAAGTTAGGTGATAGGAAGTAAAGCCCAGACTATGAGTGATAGTCTTTATATTTCGTGCTTTCCCCAGCTGCCCCTTTGCCCTTTGTTTCACCGAAGCGTAAACGGGACAGTTGGTTTTTCAGAGTAGACTGTGTGGGGGTAATGTGGTTTTCTCTTTGTAAAACCCACTATCATTTACTGAACTTGGCCTTGGCTACATGTTTTCTGAAATCTTTACAAAGTAGGTATGATTATGTGCATTGTTTAGATGATATGCTGGGACACGGAACTATTAAACAACTTGCCCAAGGCCACCCAGCTAAGTGGCAGAACGAGGGCAGGACCAGGCTCTTTCCGCTGTGGCAGGCGTCTTCCCGGCCTGGGGTTCTTTGTTCAATCCAGAACAACCACTCAGTGGGTTCAGTCCCCCAAACTGAGGCTGGGAACCGTGTCTTGTGAGCGTTGTAATTCTCTCAAGGCAGGTGTATATATGTTTTTAAAAAATAATTTCAGACTTTAGAAAAGTTGCAAGAATAGTATGAAAAATGCTCATATATCCCTCTACAAATTCCTTAAACAGTAACATGTTATGATGTTTACTTCATCTTTTCACTATATTTACATATTACAATTTTCTAACCACTTAAAAGTAAATTGCAGACATCACGTCCCTTCACTATTAAATACTTCAGTGTGTATTTCCTTTAAAAAAAGGACACTTTCCTCTAAAGACAGCACAATGATCGAAATCAGTAAATTAACAAGAGTACAGTCCTCTTTGCTGGTTATGCCATTGATAGCCTTTGCAAAATAAAGCAATCTGGGGGCAGAACCCAATCTAGGAGATTTGCGTATATTCAAGCATGGAGCAAAGGCACCCAGACCTGCTTTTCTACCTTTCCTCTTGCTTCTCAGCCTTAAGAATGAATCCCAAATGCAGAAGCTTAATGAGGCTTTTTGACATTTTCTGATCTGGAAGGAGCCTCAGTGACCCCCATTGAGGCCTGAACGCAAATTTGGAGTGAGACTGGAAACTTTTCAAAATTTCTGTGGTCTCTTTTGCCCTGTATTGTAACTTGTAGCTTCTGCAACGTAATAGGCTCGTTCCGAGAATCTTTCACTAGTAAATACAAGCTTGAATCATTTTCTTTTTCCTAAAATTAATCCCTCTTAAAAAAATATTTCTTCAGGGCTTCCTAGGAAATTCCGTTTTTTTTTTTTTCTTCTTTCTAACTTTCATTGGATCTCTGGCATTTTTAAGGGCCCGGAGGAACAAAGCTCAATTGGATGCATTTCAGAGGTGGTGACAGGTTGAAATGGAAATTATTGGAGAAAGGGGAGACCAAGAAGTGTCCCTGAAATCATGTCACATCAGGTGCTACCTCCTTTATGTCCTCCCTGTTCTCTCTCTTCCACCCTTGACTCTCACTTGCCCTTCCTCCCTTCCTCCTTTCCTTCCTTCCTTCCTTCCTGATGGAGTCTCACTCTGTCACCCAGGGTGGAGTGCAGTGACACAATCTCAGCTCACTGCAACCTCCACTTCCCAGGTTCAGGCAATTCACCTGCCTCAGCCTCCTGAGTAGCTGGGATTACAGGTGCCCACTACCCCTGGCTAATTTTTGTATTTTTAGTAGGGACCGAGTTTCTCCATGTTGCCCCGGCTGGTCTCAAACTCCTGACCTCAGGTGATCCACTCGCCTTGGCCTCCCAACGTGCTGGGGTTACAGGCAAGAGCCACCGCGCCTGGCTAGCCCACTCTCCTTCATTTGGGTTGTTGTCATCCAGAAACTTAGCTGAAAGTTGGAGAATACAGCATGAAGCATCACAATGACTACTTTGTTTCCTTGTCGTCTTACCCTTTTTACATGTCATATTCCATGTAACACAGCCCCTGAAGTTTTAAAACAACCTACTGTGTGTCTTAAATCTACGCTACACATTGGGGGAAAATAGAATTACTTTCTGCGGGAAAAACATCATAGTTGTCTGCAGTTCAAATGGAATTCCAGAATCTCAAGCTAGTGGGATGAGAGAATAGAGAATACGTTGGCCCTGGGAGTGCTGCCTTAAAATGTGTTTGTTTAGACACTTGGGGCTCTCAGGGTTGATAGTTGCTATAGCGGCTGCCTGACACACATTGATAAAAATATAATGGTTATGTCTAAGGAAGTGCTAGGTTGGGCTGATGGAAATCAAAATCTCATTAAAGTGAAACGCTGGCAGGGTTTCATTTCAGTGTTCAATGGGCAGGAAGGCCCGTCTTACCTGAAGCGTAGCAAATACTCATACAGATTGTTCCTGCGTGATGGCTCTTTGCCTTCTGATCCTTGCACTGTTTTTTTTTTTTTTTTCTTTTTCCTTCTGTCCCTTTTGTGAATAAAAAATGATTTATGATCTTGTGTATTTCATCTTGTATAGCATTTAATTGTGTCTTCTGGGATATATGTTTGCTTTGGAGCTTTTGTCTCCAAATGTTGCTCATTACGCTGTTTTTGTTTCAAACACACTGCCAACCAGACTGAAATCTGAGAATACTTCAGTATTCATCTGCCTCCCAGCTATTCATTTGGGCTCCCAGACCTGTTTCTGATGTTATCTCCAAGATATACTGGGTCTGAAGTGCTTCACTTAGCTTCCATTTATGGAGAGGTGTGTAATTAAAATTAAAAAAGTAATTTGGCCGGGCGTGGTGGCTCATGCCGGTAATCTCAGCACTTTGGGAAGCCGGGGCAGGTGGATCACTTGAGGACAGGAGTTTGACCAGCCTTACCAACATGATGAAACCTCGTCTCTACTAAAAATACAAAAGTTAGCCAGGTGTGGTTGGCGGACACCTGTAATCTCAGCTACTCAGGAGGCTGAGGCAGGAGATTCACTTGAACCCTGGAGGTGGAGGTTGCAGTGAGCCGAGATCGCACCGCTGTGCTCCAGCCTGGGGGACAGGGAAAGACTGTCTTAAAAAAAAAAAAAAAGGTAATGTGGCTTTTCAGTCAAGACTTAAATTATGCAGCTCTTTTGCCATTCCTGGTGGCTTCTAAATCTACTTCAGCAGCTTGATGGAGGTAAACAGCTGATGGACAGGGGACTGGGTATCTGTTTTCTCCAGCCTTCCCTGTGCTATGGGGAAGAGGCAGGCAGAACCACGCTCAGAACTGGAAAAGGTTGTGCTCTTTGGGAGCCTGGGCTTTTTAGGTGGGTTTCAAGTGTGAGAGGGAACTGGGCCTGGAAAGTGATTTGCGGGTACAGAGTATTCTGCCCTCTGTGCTGCTGGTTGGTTTGCTATTTGCTTGCAAGCCTTAATCTAGGTAACATGGTTTGAGTTCAGGCAGATGCCTGTAACTAGACAAGCCCATTCTGGTGCCAGGTAAGAGCTGGCATTAGCAGCGTGATGGTGTAAAACAGGCTTGGGGAAGGACACTGGAGTCGCAGCTGACAGAACTAGTGACAATGGAACCTTGGCAGAATGCAGTAGATGACACAGGTGCCCTTGAAGACAAACAGGGACAAAAGATCAAGAGAATATATTTGAGAGGAGAAGAACCAGAGCAGAATTTAATATACTTTCCTGAACTCATCCTTGCAATAACGCTTCATCCTCTTGAAAGATTAGTGGGGAGTGTCAGTTAATAAGCCAGTTGCATTGGTCTTCGCATTTTGGGGTTTGGCCAAAAGGGCCAAATAAGTGAGACTGTCATAAGGACCCTTGGCTCTTCTGGCTGTTTATCTTCTTCCTTTTGCGGTGCTTTACATTTTTCCAGAGACCTCTTCAGACTTTCGTTTTTCATCTGTTTTCCACCACTTAGGGACTTCCTTTGCTTTCTTTGTCTCTCATACTTTCTTTCCTGACACCTACTGCTTTTGGTGAAGATTTGCCCCACTTATAGTCACCTTTC